CGTTTTGGTTTGTTGTTTTCCTCCTCTCTGCCGGTCGGAGAGTGCTGCCTCTGTGGGCGGGGGAGGGGAGCAGGGTTCTGCGCTACCTTCTAGTCCTCTTTTATGGCAACTTTCTTCTTCGGGCAGTTTGCTGGAGTCACCCGTTTATCTTCTGTGTCCCAGTTCTCACTGGGACCTGCCGCTTTTCCTCCCTATTAACTTTTTTTAATGGGAGATCTTACTTGCAGCGTCTCCTCGCCGCCATGTTGCTCCGCCCCCTCCTACTTTTATTATACTTTAAAAAAAGACATCTGAATATTTTTTATTATATTTTTATTTTTTTAAGATTTGTTTATGTATGCATACAAGAACTGGGGTACAGGCCAGAGATGCGGGGTGTGAGAGGATTCACCAGAGACAGAGTGGGGAACAGAACAGGCAGACTGACTGAAATACACTGCTGAGGGGAGCAGCGGGCGTGACAGGAGAGGTCGGCTGCGTCCTGTGGGTCGCTCCCTGGCCGGCAGGGGGTGGAACTCATGCTGCAGTGGCTGCGGACAGCCTCACAGAGCTGCAGCTTAGCCCTTTGCGCCACCAGGGAGGCCCTGAAGGAATTAAGTAATTCACTCTGCTCCCTTACTATGCGGGGATTTCACCTCCACTTGCCTTTCACCTTTCAAGGCTTTGCAGTGAAGCTGCTTTTTCCGGAGCCCTCCTGGGTCTCCTCCCTGCTGCGGACCAGCACAGCAGTAGACGATGAGGCCACCTCAGGGTTGAGAGAAGCGTGCAGGGTGGTCAGGGCGTCAGCGAAAGAAATGACAAACAGACACACTTCAAGAGTGAAAATCTGAGTGTAATTTTCTTTGAGTTTGTGACCAGTATATATATGTTTTCCAAAAGCACAGGAATGAATATCAAAGAAATTAGCTTGCTCATGGGCTCAGTCTATCACCATCAGGGAGGTGATCTACATAACAAGCAATGACCATTATAGAAGAAAGGAGGAAGTTTAGAAAGAAAGATAAGGGATTAAAGTTTGTAGTTCTAGAAAGACAGGAAAAGATTTTTAGCATTCTTGTAGTGGTTCTTGGTGGTCGTTATCTTTTGATAAGCTTCTGCCTTTTCAGGGAACTTCCGCTGCACTTCCTCTGCTTCAGGCTGTTTCCCCCCCCCCCCTCCGCGCGCGCTGGTTGCCCAGCCGGATCTAGGGACCATGGCGTGGCGAAAGCCATTCCTAAAGATCACTGCAGGGGGAGGTGCAGCAGGTATGTCTTCAGAGGGTTTTGCTGTTCTTCCCCTGCGCGCTGGTTGCCCAGCCGGACCTAGGGCCGGTTAGCCCTAAAGGTCACTGCAGGGGGAGGTGCAGCACCTCCCCAAGCAGCAGCCTCGTTTTTCCCCTGCTCTGGTCATTTCTTATAAATGGCGTCACATGCTCTGTGGCCTTTGTATCTGGCTTCTCTCACTCAGCATCATGTTTTTGAGGTTCATCCACCTCTTGGCGTATCAGGGCTTCATCCCTTTTCATGGCTGAGTGATGTCCTGCTCTTTGGATGGACACATTTTGTTCATCCATTTACAGGTGATGGACATTTGAGCCTTTTCCCCCTCTGGCAATTGTGAATAGTGCTGTTATGGATACATGTGTACAAGCATTTGTTTTAAACATGATTTTCATTTCTTTTGAGTCTATTCCTAGAAGTGGAACTACTAGATCTTATGATGGCCATGTAATAATTCTGTATTTAAATTCTTGAGGAATTTCCATATTGTTTTCCACAGTAGCTGTGCCATTTTCCATTTCCACCAGGAGTGCATGAGGGTTCTAATTCCTTCATTTCCCCACCAACACATTATTTTCTGTTTTTTTTTTTAAAGATTTATTTTATTTATTTATATAAGCACTGGGTACAGTCAGAAGCGCGGGAGGGTCAGATAATTCACCAGAGCCAGAGCAGGGAGCAGAGCAGGCAGACTGAAGTACACTGCTGGGGGAAGCAGCGGGCAGCAGGAGAGGTCTGCGTGCCATGTGGGACCCTCGCCCGGCGGCGGGGGATTGAACCGGCGCTGCAGAGGCTGTGGGCAGCTACGCAACACAGCGCTCAACTGCTGCGCCACCGGGGAGGCCCTCTGTGTTTTTTTTTTTTTTTTTTAAAGATTTATTTATTTATTTATACATGCACTGGGTACAGTCAGAAGCGCGGGAGGGTGAGAGAATTCACCAGAGCCAGAGCGGGGAGCAGAGCAGGCAGAAGGACCGAAGTACACTGCTGAGGGGAGCAGCGGGTGGCAGGAGAGGTCTGCGCGCCATGTGGGACCCTCCTCCGGTGGCCGGGGAGCAGCCGGGGATTGAACCGGCGCCTCAGAGGCTGCGGGCAGCTTCGCAACCCAGCGCTCAACTGCTGCGCCACCGGGGAGGCCCCCCCTCTGTGTTTTTTTTAAGATTTATTTATTTATGCATACAAGAGCTGGAGTACAGGTCAGAGGTGTGGAGGGTGAGAGGATTCACCAAGGACAGAGTGGGGAACAGAACAGGCAGATTGAACTAAGCACACTGCTGAGGGGAGCAGCAGGTGAGACAGGAGAGGTGTGCTGGGCCAAGTGGATTGCGAACTCCTACTGCAGTGGCTGGTGATAGCTTGATAGTGCTGTGTCTTTAACCCCTGTGCCACCAGGGAGGTTCCTATCTTCTGTGTTTTGATTCTAACCATTCTATTGGGTTTTGATTGCATTTCCCTCATGTTGAGCAAGCGACTTTTCATGAACTTGTTGGCCATTTGTGGATCTTCTTTGGAGAAATGTCTGTTCCTTTCCTTGCTCATTTTACAGCAAGGTTGTGTGTCTTGTTTTCCCACAGTGCTTTGTCTTCTCCACAGTACACAGCGTATAGTTTCCTCAGTACCTGAGGGCCCCCTGGAGGGGGAGCTCCAAGACTGAACAATGACGACCATAAGCCTCTACCACCCTGTTCCTCAGAGTCTGGGGCTCCACCCAGGACACAGTAGGCCCTTAGTAAATACTCAGCACACATGAATTACTGAATCACCTTGGAATCCTGTTCTGAAATTCCTACACAGTGTGAAATATCAAATCTGGAAATGGTTTCAAAAGTAACACATTCTGTGTAGACCCAAAACAGTGAATGAGAGTGCCTTGGCCTCCTACAAGCAGGGCCATGTCTTACTACATTTGGGCTTGGATAGTTCATCACCCTGGACTTTGCAGATGAAGAAACAGCTGCAGAGAGGTTCACTGACTCCCTGGATCACACAACCAGCACAAGCAGGATGGAGTAGAACCCAGCAGCCTGGTTCATATCCATTGTTCTATGCTAGCCCACAACCATGCCTTAGATCCCACTGGTTTTGCCATCTTTTCTGATTTTTGGAGTCAATTTTTTTTTCAGGTTTCAAAATTTTAGGGTTCTCTAGGAAGAGTTTGTTGACCCTGAACCCTCAGCACAGCAGTGCCTTAAAATGGCCCTGTGGGAGAGTACCAGGTGAACTTCAGACCTAGATGTCTTTCTCCTTTGCTGTGTGACTTTGGGCAATTCCCTTAACCTCTCTGGGCTTCCTCATTTGTAACAGGAATCAGCTCATTCATTCATGACACTTCAGCTTAATATACCCAGCCTCTTTTTTCATCACCAAAATTAGGGTTAATTTTTCATGTTTTATACGTTAGGAAAAGTTCCAAATTTGGGTATCTGGGGCTCAGTAACTCATTTGGTACAGAATCACTCCTCTGTTCTAGATGTTGGGGATCCATATGTATAAAATACTTGTATTTATTCATTCAACAAGCATTTATGGGAAGTCTGCCCTGTGCTCAGGGCCCAGACTCTGGGGAACAGTGATGACTAAGGTAAGTCTAGCTTGCCCTTTCCAGGCTGGTGACCTGATGAGGGAGGCAAAAAAAAATCCCTAATCCCTTGCACCACCAGGGAGGCCCCAGGAAGGACATTTTTTTTTTAAAGATTTTTTTATTATTATTTATTTATTTATACAAGCACTGGGTACACTCAGAAGCATGGGAGGGTGAGAGAATTCACCAGAGCCAGAGCGGGGAGCAGAGCAGGCAGAGGGACCGAAGTACACTGCTGAGGGGAGCAGCGGGCGGCAGGAGAGGTCTGCGCGCCATGTGGGACCCTCCTCTGGTGGCCGGGAGCAGCCGGGGAGCAGCCGATGCTGCAGAGGCTGCGGGCAGCTTCGCAACCCAGCGCTCAACCGCTGAGCCACCGGGGAGGTCCCGGAATTTTGCTTTCAGTATTCTGCTGTCCCCCCCCCCCCAATCCCCGAGAGGCAAGGACAAGGGGACTGACTACTAGCGCTCATCGGTGGCCCAGGAGCCCAGCGCACGTGACGCTGAATCTTGAAACGCAGCCCGTGCAAAATATAAGTGTGTTGTTAAAGGACTGTTATCATTCTGTGTAGGAGCTGTGTGGGCAACTCATTTAATGTACCTTCTCAGCACCATCATTATTCAATCTCAGTTTACGTTTTCCTGTTTTGAAACTATCAACCACCCCGCCTCTCCCAGGTTTTCAAAATCTCTCTAGAGACCCTGTTTGTCCCTGTTCGGAAGGGTCAGACGCGGCTTTGGAGGACCAGGACTGGCTCTGGGCCAGTCCCCCCTCTCGGAGGGTGTCTCAAGTTAAAGAACTACGGACCCCGCCCCACGTCCACCTCCCACCTTGCCCCCAACCCCCATTCTCCATCAGCATCTCATCACGGCCCGTCCCCTCCTGGGGGTGGGTTGCACAAGAACCCATCTCCCCAGGATGCCCGAGGGCGCCCCTACTCCTCCCCTGGCCGCCTCCTGCCCCCCTCCAGTCTCAGACACCAAACGGCCTCTGCCCACCCCACCCCGGGCTGGGCCGGCAGCGCAGATTCCCTTCCCTGCTCGTCTCAAGCCCAGGCCCCCAGGCTCAGCTCCGAGGACTCCCCTCACCGCCCCGCCACCCCCGTCCCCACACCCCGCTTGGGGATTCGTCACAGAATCCTGGACTCCTCTTCTCGCAGGGATCAGAACAGTCCCGCGGCCCCGGCACCCCCCACGGGGCCGATGCTGCCCGCGCTCCGCGTCGCCCGGTCCACACGGTACTTGCGGCGGCGCCACGGCTCGGTGAGGCTCCGCGGTGCAGGGTCGTCCAGGTCCTCGGGCGGCAGAAAGCTGCGATCCAGCACCTCCGCCGCCTCCTGCCAGTTGGCGAAGCAGGCGGGGCCCAGACGCCGGATCTCCTCGGTCGCGTCGCTCACGAGCACTTCCCCGTCTGACTTCAGGACCACGACCGTGGGTAGCCGCTCCGCAGAGAACTGGCGTCTGAGGTCCCTGCGGGGTGGGCAGGCAGGTCAGGCCGCCGGTCCCCTGTCCGGGACCTCATGTCCCTCCTCCCGGTGTTCAGTGGGCGCCTTCTGTGTGCACTGCCTGGTGCCTGGCTCTGGGGTCCGGGGTAGGTGGGGGGGGGGCGTCCAGGACAGTCCCCCACCTCAGGCCTTTGCGGTGGCTGTGCCCCCTGCCTGGCGCCCTCTCCCCAGACCTCTGTGAGGAAGATGCTTGTGCTGCGGTGTTGACAACAACTACTTCTTGTCACCCAACCTCAAGTCACCGCTGTGGGAAGGGTGTCCCAGGCAGAGGGTACAGCTGGAGCAAAGGTCCCTAGATTGGGGTGAGCCTTAGGCACACTGACCCCCCTGGCTGGGAAGACATCAAAGCCCAAAATAGACCTTGTTTGTGGCAGGACCCTCAGGAGACCCTGGACCAAACCTTGCCTCTAGGCCAGAGTCCTATACAGTCAACATGGAGCAGAGCCAGCTGCTAGACTGGGCCCCTCCTCACTTAGGATTCTGAATTTTTACCCACTGAGTTCCGGGGATGTTTTTCCAGGTCTCCACATGGAGAAGACATGGAACTTGCAAAATCCCACAAGAGTTAAGTTGCCAGACAACAATAGAAATATAGGACACCAGGTTAAATTTGAATTTCATAGCAACAGCAAATCAATTTTTGGTATATCTCAAGTAAGTTGGGATGTTCTTATACTACATTATTCATTATATATTTTAAAGATTTTATTTATTTATGCATACAAGAACTGGGGTACAGGCCAGAGGTGTGAAGGGTAAGAGGATTCACCAGAGACAGAGTGGGGAACAGAACAGGCAGATCGACTGAAATACACTGCTGAGGGGCGCAGCAGGCAAGTCAGGAGAGGTCTGCTGTGCCATGTGGGTCACCTCCCTGGCTGGGGATCAAACTCCAGCTGCAGTGGCTGCTGATAGCTTCATAGGTTTGTGTCTTAACCCCTTGCGTCACCAGGGAGGCTCTACATTATTCATTATTCATGTGAGATTTGTGTTAACTGGGCACCCTGTATTTTTTTTTTTTTCTGGCAACCCCGTGTGGGGACAGAGGCCAGCTAGGCCAGAGGGGACTGTTGGGGGCCAGGAAGGGAGGACTCCCTGGCACGCTGAACCTACGCTAGCCAGGGTGGGTGACTTGTACAGAGGGCCCTGCCTCAAACCAGGTCTATTTTGAGCTTTGATGCCCTTCCAGCCAGAGTTTCTGCCCCAGCTAGGGATAAGTTGCCAGTTTCCAGGTGAAAAACACTGAGGCTGCAGGGGCAGTCGGTGTGAGCAAATGTATAAATTTTGGTAAAATTGGGTGAGGAGGTTAGAGTCCCATGACCAGAAACTTTCAATTTGTGTAACAAAATGAGTGACACAGGTAAAATGTAACAAAGTTGCCTGCTCAGTTTCAAACTTACCAACACCATGTTCTGTAGATAAAGCAAAGATGGCAAAATGTTAACAATTTTGTGGGTTTCATTGTATGCTTTTTTTCAACTTTAGGGTGTGTTCTAACATTTTCATAATGAAAAGGTGGGATTTGAAAAGAAGGAAAGTCTTGCTGCACAAAAAGGGAAAGTTCTGGGCTTCCCCTGGTGGCGAAGTGGTTGAGCGCTGGGCTGCGAAGCTGCCTGCAACCTCTGCAGCACAGGTTCGATCCCCGGCCACCAGAGAGGGTCCCACATGGTGCGCAGACCTCTCCTGCTGTGCCCGCTGCTCCCCTCAGCAGTGTATTTCGTCAGTCTGCCTGTTCTATTCCCTGCTCTGGCTCTGGTGAATTCTCTCACCCTCCCATGCTTCTGACTGTACCCAGTGCTTGCATAAATAAATAAATAAATAAACAAACAAATAAATAAATAAATCTTTAAAAATAAAAAAGAAAAAGGGAAAGTTCTAAAATAGTTACGATGACACCATTTATTGGGCAGTTCCTTATCTCCTTGGAAAGGAAGAATTCAACTACCTCTCTTCAGCTCCAGGGCCTTCAATGGCTCCCAGCTACTCTGAGGATTACATCACATTGTTAAGGTGGTGTTTGGAGCTAATCCATATAGTGCCTGCTGAATTCTTATAGTGGAATTACTTATAATTCCCTGTTGTTAACTCTACTTTCTCTAAAGGCTTCTGAGCTGTGACCCCCTTCCCTCTTTCCTCATGGTTGGGGGCCTCTTTTTAAAGTTACTTTCTTGGATAAGATTTCTCTGACCCCCAAATCTCAGCAAAGCCTTCCCATAATACTTCCTCTGGAAATATATCCTCTGGAATATTACTGCATTGTGTTATTATTTATTTATTTGAGTCTTTTTATTTACATCTATCTCCCCTACTGGGTTGGAAGCTCCTGTGAGCTAGATGGAAATGGGCATATGAACACACCCCTCTCTACTCACAGTTCTCAGTACATGTACTAGACCAGATGCATCAATAAACAAATATTTCATTTTCAGCAGAAACACCCCCTCATCCAAGAAGCCCTCCCTGATTTCCTCTCCTCTCTCACCTCCTCAGGTCATCCTCATAGGGCAGGAAGAGCCACTTCTCAGGCATGTCTCTGAGGAACTGGTCCTGCTTCTCCTCTGTGTAGTCCTGAGACACATACACCAAGGCGAGCTGTGCAGCCCTCAGCACATAGAACTCATCTGTGAGCCGCACAAAGAAGTCTTTGAGGACAGGTACGAAGGCCTGGCACTGCAGGCATGTCCCAGCACCAAAGAATAACAGCACCAGTCGGTTCTCCAACCGGCGGCTGAGCTCAGCCTCTGTGTCCAGCTCATCCTGGTTGCTGTTGTTTCGAATTAGGATGTGTCCAGAGAACAGGGAGGCCATGGCAACCCTGGCTGGGTGCTGAGGACAGAGCTGCTGTTTGCCTGGATTAGGAATCTTCAAGAGGGCTAGTTTCGGACTTCACTAATCTGCTTAAACTGAAACCTCATTCCATGATGCCTCTGAGGGCAGGGGCAGGCTGCCCCTTTTCAGTAGAGAGGTGTAAATTCATTATAAAATTGCACAGAATTGCAAAGGAAACCAGTCATATTGACACATGGTGCCAAAAAATTTTATTATATGGTGTAAATATATGTTCTTTAAAAATGCATCAAGAAATTCTGATTCAGGAGCATTCTACTACTTGATTTCCAAGTTGAGATAAGTGAAAAAGACATTTTCACTTATGCAGTGACCAGTATGTGGCATGAAATTATCCTTGATTCCCACTGGTGACGAAGTCACAGGGCCAGCTGATGCCTGTTTTAAAAGAACATGCTAAATTCCAGTTAGAAACTAAAGAAAATAAACATGTCTGATTTTCCACCCTCCTGAATTCTCTCTGGATAGCCTACGTAAGATGCCTGAACTGGCTACATTTTTGTTTTTTTGGCATAGAAGAACTGGGGTATAAGCCAGAAGTGCATAGGGGTAATAGGACTCCCCAGAGACAGAGTCGGGCACAGAAAAGATGGGTCTACTGAAATACACTGCTAAGGGAAGCAGCAGGCAAGTCAGGAAAGGTCTGCTGTGCCTTATTTGGGTCACCTATCTGGCTGGGGATCGAACTCAGGCCATAGCGTGATAGTACTGAGACTTAACCCCAAGGCCACCAGGGAGGCCTTGGCTGTTCTTTTTTTAACTGCCTCAGAGCCGTTGTGCTATGGTTCTCACCCTCCTGTCTTCCTCATCCTGGGAATCTCTCCTGGCATAGAAAGTTGAAAATTATGGCCACAGTAGTTTGCAGGCCCCCTCCCATAAAGAGCTAGAGACTGATCCCCCTCTTAAAGCCCTGATGGCTTTGCAACTTGTTTTTTTTTTTTTTTTAAAGATTTATTTATTTTTGCATACAAGAACTGGAGTTCAGGTCAGAGTTGCCGGGGGGTGTGTGTGTGGGGGGTGAGAGTATTCACCAGAGACAGAGTGGGGAGCAGAACAGGGGGATCTACTGAAATACACTCCTGAGGGGAGCAGTGGGCAAGTCAGGAGAGGTCTGCTGTGCCATGTGGGTAACTCCCTGGCCAGGGATCAAATTTGTGCTGCAGTGGCTATGGATAGTTTCCTAGGTTGTGTCTTAACTCTTTGCGCCATCAGGGAGGCCCTACAACTTGTTTTGACCAATAGAATGTGGTGGAAGGAGTGAGCTCTCAGGATAAATCTTCTTCCTGCCTGCCCTTTCTCTGCCATGGAATGCTGCCCCCAAGAGCCTCCTGTAAGAAGATAACTTAGCCTGGAGTTTGGAAACCTTTTCTCTAAGGTACCAGATATGGCCTCCCTGGTGGCACAAGGGATTAAAATCTCAGCACTACAAGCTATTGGCAGCCACTGTAGTATGAGTTTGATCCCTGGCCAGGGAGCTAACACACATGGCGCAGCAGACCTCTCCTGTCTCGCCTGCTGCTCTCCTCAGCAGCGTATTTCAGTCAATCCGCCTATTCTGTTCCCTACTCTGTCTCTGGTGGATCCTCTTACCCCCCGACACCCCTGGCCTATACCCCAGTTCTTATATGAATAAATAAATGAATCTTAAAAAAAAAGAAAATTTGAGTATATCTTTTGACTCCCCAAAAAACTTAACTACCTCTCCCTTGGTATCTGAGGGGTATTGGTTTCAGAACCCTCTATGGGATACCCAAATCCTAGCATACATAAGTCCCTTATAGTTGGCCCTCTCTATCTGCAAGTTCTGCGTTTGTGGATTCATCCAAGCTCAGATGTTAGGAGTCCGCATATCCAACCCGTGGATATGAAGGGCTAACTATATTTATCGAAAAAATTCTGAGTGGTCCCATGCAGTTCAAACCCACGTTATTCCAGAGTCAATATTAGCCTTTTGATATTTTCCAGCCACTCAAAATTATTAAAGTCATTCTTAACTCACAGGGAGCGGGCTTTAACCTTCAAGATTTAGTTTGCAGACCTCTGTTCCAGCCATGTGGAAGAGAACCAAACACCCAGCCAATAACCAACATCGAGTCCACACAGGTGACCCCCCCCCTAACCCCCTCATCACCCTACCCCACCACCCAGGCCAATCAAAAGCAGGACATAGCAGAGTGATGGGGCCAGGTGATACACTGAGTCAGTCAGCCCACAGAATGCTAAGATTTTTTTTTTTTAAGATTGATTTACTTATGCATACAAGAACTGGGGTACAGGCCAGAGGCGCGGGGTTTGGAGGGGTGAGAGGATTCACCGGAGACAGAGTGGGGAACAGAACAGGCAGACTGACTGAAATACATTGCTGAGGCGAGCAGTGGGCAAGTTAGGAGAGGTTTGCTGTGCCATGTGGGTAGCTCCCTGCAGATAGTTTCATAGTTTGTGTCTTAATCCCTTGCGCCACCAGGGAGGCCGGAGATTATTAATCAATGTTGCAGGAAACCACTCACTTAAGGGTGGCTTGTCACACAGTGATAGTTAACTAGCACACTGGATCTAGAGGATTTCTCTGGGCTTTAGGACCCTGAAAGAAGCTGTTAGTATAGGCTTTAAACAATAAAAAAGGAACCACAAAATCCTCTTACCCTGGAGTATAACTCATATTGTTGAAATCTATTGGAGCATTGGGTCTTGTTCACATGAGTCATTCCTCTTTGTCCTGTGAGTCCTCTCTCTTTGAATCCTCAGGCCCCTATCCCATTTTTTTTTAAAGATTTATTTTATTTATTTTTGCATACAAGAACTGGGGTGTGTAGGCCAGAGGTTGAGGGGGCGCAAGAGGGTTCACCAGAAACAAAGGGGGGAGCAGAACAGGCAAACAGACTGAAATACACTGCTGAGGGGAACAACAGGTGAGTCAGGAAAGGTCTGCTGCACCATGTGGGTAGCTCCTGGCAGGGATCGAACTTATGCTGCAGTGGCTGCAGATAGCTTCATAGTTCTGAGACTTAACTCCTTGCACCAGTGCATCCATTCTTAAACTCAAAGTATATACTCCCACTTTGCTCCATTGTATTTAGAATCCAACTCTATGTAGATTCCCTTGTCTGTAATTAAATTCAGTCTTTTCTCATACAAAGCTAAGTGATGCTAATTAGATTGCCTGACTAGCCTGAGAAGAACCCAGGGGGTGGGGAAATTTCCTCTCCATTCCTACAATGCAAAGCTTTGTGTAAGGGCCCATTCCAGATGCATGCCTGCTTTATTCTATTTAGAAACAATTTCCTGGTCAGATTTTCCTCACCTCTGCTAGAACCCCAGGAGGTCCCAGCTTGTTGTGAATTCAAGAAACTACTGAGAGCAAAGACCTCAATAATGGAGGACTCTTCCATGTTATGGGGTGCTGGGCTCCTATTCCCAGAACAGCACTATGAGGTTCCTATGATTTTATCCCATTACAGAGGAAACGTATGCCTCAGAGAGATTCATTGGGCTGCTATGTCACCAAACAAATGACCTGTGTCAGACTGCAAAGCCAATGACAATTTGATTTGGGCTTTTATCTATCTCAGAATTTCCAAATTGCAGCAATCTTGACATTTGGTATCAGATATTCATTGTGTGTGTGGTGTGGGGGCCATCCTGGGCACTGTAGGGACAATTAGAAAACATTCATGCCCTTCACCCACTAACACTGCCCCCCCCCCACAGTTGTGACAATTAAAAATATCTCCAGGGCCTTCCTGGTGGTGCAGGGGGTTAAGCACCGCACTGTGAAGTGATCCACAACCTCTGCAGCACAAGTTCTGAGACACAGGGCAAGCTAGGAATTAGGCAATTTTAGGGACAGTGCAGGAGGGGACCTCTGAAGAATTTAGGGAGGCTTCAGAGATAAGGACAACCAAGGGAAAGTAACCACTAGGTTTTTCCACTAGGAAAAACAAACATCCCAGGACCAAGGACAACATTGTTAACGCTGGTCCTGGTTTCCTTCAGGTGGTAAAGGGAGGCAGAGATTGGAGAAATGGGAGAGTGGTTTAATTTATGGACAACTTAGAAGGGCAGCTGTTTAACTTCAATGCAGGGATGCCCCTCCAGAGGACTGGGCCATAAAGATAAAGATGCAACAAATGGGGAAAGAGAAAGCTGTTAGACAAGGAATGTGAAGATCCCCCACTCAGTAGCAAATTAAGTGAGACAGCCGAGAACTAACCAATCACAAAGAGACTGGTGGAGCTTTAGAATAATGAGGGAAAGAAGGTGTATATTCCCTGAGACACAACTCCACTTTGGCTTCCTTGCGCCTCCCAGGCCTGGTTTCCTGGCCTGGGAGTCCCACTTTATTTCTGCTCTTTTTCTCCTCAATAAACTTTTTCTTCTTCTAAACAAACCTGTCTCTTCTCGCTTGCTTGCCTGAGCATCTGCGAAGTTCCTGCTGCGGCTTCGTGAGACACGAACCTTTGGGGGTCTAGTGGCTGGGGCTCAGCACTGCCCCTGCAGCCTGGGATCCATTCCTGGCTGGGAGACTCGGCCTGACAATTCCGGTATCAGTAGGACTGGAGCAGGGAATCCCCAAACAAAAAAATTTTAACAAAATATTAGAACTTACACAAGGGGCTAATGAGGATCCATCAGAGTTCCTTGAGAGGATTATTCAGACGTATACAAACCACACGGATATAAATCCAGATGCCCCAGAAAATGCTCGTTTGATCACTATGGCGTTCATCACAAATAGTGCTCCAGACATAAGGAGAAAGTTAGCAAAGGTAGACGGTGTCACAGAGATGAGTCCGTCCCAGGTAGTGGACTTAGCATTTAAGGTTTATAATAATAGAGAGGACAGAAGACTGAAACCTGCAACCGTTTTCGTACAAAGAGAGTGTTATAGAGCAGCCCCGATATTAAACGGGTTCCTGGCTGTGGGTCCTCACCCGCGCGCTTTAAAGGGACTTATGAATACT